TAGTAGTAGTAGTAGTAGTAGTAGTAGTAGTAGCAAGTAGGAGTAGACGTAGTAGTAGTAGTAGTAGTAGTAGTAGTAGTAGTAGTAGTAGTAGTAGTAGTAGTAGTAGTAGTAGTAGTAGTAGTAGTAGTAGTAGTAGTAGTAGTAGTAGTAGTAGTAGTAGTATTGGGAGTAGGACCGGGAGTGGGACTGGGAGTGAGACTAGGAGTGGGAGTCAGACTTTGAACTTTCAAGCCGGAAGATAAGCTTAACTCCGCAAAGTGCGGGGTTCTCGCAACGATGTAACTTTCCAAAGATCTCCCAGGCGTTAGCTTTGCGCTCGGTGCTCTGCCGGGAGCCTCAGAAGCTTACGCGTTTCCGTTTCATGCGGTGCGGTTTAGAACGAGCTTTAGAGCATCGTTTGCAGGGCGTTCTTGATGTTTGAGAAGCCTGGCTTTGTTTTTTGAAGCGGGATTCACGGACCTGCGTGAGGAATTGAACATCCAGGGAACACAGGGTCAGAGATGCTTAATGGATATGGCGTTCGGCAGTTGCTTGGCTCAACGCACCCCCTTTGGACGGTGGAGTGGCTTCTTCTAGCACCTCTTTTGTGTGTTGTGTGGTTTGAGGTAAACCACAGGCTCTCTCAGCAGTGATTTCGCCCTCGAACTACACGTGTAGCATGGTTTTTTCCTTGAGGTGTATGCGGTTGGTGGTATGCGCTTAGGAATCCAAGAAACTCACCCTACCACTCGAAACAACTGTCTCAAAACTCTCGCCAAGTCAGGCATCGCTTACTTTGCAGAGTTCTCGAACATTTTCCTGCGCTTGAGCAACTTCCTGAGAAGAAGGCCTGTTCAGACACAGCAACCGAACAACCCTAAGGCCAGAACCTGGGTCCCGACCTTGGGGCTCTAAGCTTTCGTTGCATATTCAGGTCATCGCTGGACGTAACTTCGGATTCGGGATTAAGAAGGGCATGGGGAGGTTAGATCTGGAGTTGGAGGGTGTAACAGAGCGTCTGGGTCCTAGCTTTCGATTTTCTCTGTGACCAACATCCTTCAAGCGCTTTCGACTCCTTGGTGCTTTGGGTCCTGAGAATCTTGCCCCAGCAGAGCCCCAAAAGAGGCTCGAGCCTCGAAGCCCACCCTTTCAGAATCCTCTGAGCCATCTACCAACTACAAAGCCTATACCCTTCAACCCTTAATCTTTAAACTCTCGACAGCGCCGCCGATGGACGATAGACGAAATCCCCCGCTAGCTCAGACTTATGTTACAGATTGTATCGGCAGAACCCTAAGTTCCAAAACCCAAGGCACGACGCCCTAAACGACCTTGCCAAGAGGAACGGGAGCATCTCGCTGCGTCGAGCAGTCAACCTGGCCTGGCCCAAAGCTCCGGGCTTCAGGGACTTCAAGGGCTTCAGGCTTTGGAGCCTCTAGGTCTCTAGCGAGGAGCTTGCCTTCCAGGTATTGGGTTTGGGCCTTGGAGTATATGTTACAGCACATGATTTTTCGAATCGGAGATTCCGTCTTGGGGATGTCCGTGGGCCGGTCGTCTAGTGTCAGACGAGAGCCCTTCATTTGTGCAGAATTTGTGCTTCATCGTCGATGGTTGGTTCGTTCAATCCAACGCCCACCCCGACTTGGAAAGCAATCGCATGCAGGATCGCGCGAGGCAGCTCTGTTTCGAGCTGAAATCACGGACCCACAGCAAAAAAGCAGCCAAGCGTCTGGACTCTTAACAACTTAGCTCCAACACCTTTGTGCCCAGATGCTGTTGGGATCCTTCGCCGCCAGCCGCATGCGTGGGGCTCGGCAGCTCTCGGCTTTGCGGTATGAAGCAGCTTTCGGTGGAACCCAGGGTTTTCGGCTTTGGGCTCTTGGGGTTCAGATTCAGGTTGTAGGTTTCGCGGTCCAGGCGCTACGAGCGCAAGCAATTTTGATCACGGCAGCTGTTTCCTTTCAGAATTCGCAGGTATCAGATGCTGGGTATCAGATGCTGAAGTGAATGCGAGGACTTGCAACTCGCATAAGATTTTTGCCTCGAGCCAGGGCAAAAAGCAGCTCCTTGTCACCTAGCCTTCGGAATGCTGCACTAAGGCACGGAGGAACCTTGTCTAGCAAGCACCCTCCGCAGCATGTGCACCGCTGCGGAATTGAAATGTCCAGCCCTGGCCGTGTCAAAATTCAGCTCTTGTGTGGGGCAGGCCCGTGAAGTCCTCAAACCGTTTGCGTGTGATGTTGCCACATGCCCGAGAGCTTCGACAGGATCTCAGAAACTTGGTTTCCCGGGGCCAAACCATCAACGCCCTTCTGCACCCCCAGGCCTGCAGGCCTGAGCCCGACTGGGGTGGGACCGGAGATGCCCGAAGATCGCCGGCATGGATAACTCAAGCTTCAGCGCCCAAGGTTCAACTTTGCCTTCGCCATGCGCGTGTTTTGGCTCGCCCGGGCTCACGTGCACCCCCGGCACCCTGGCAAGCACTTCGGGATGCAGTTTGCGCGCAGGGTGACAATGC